CCCCCCCCCCCCCCCGACTCTGATTGTTGTCAGGTTGTTCACACAGGTAGCGCGAAGATTTTAACCACATTTACACCAAATCACCAAAGAAAATGCAAATCAAACCACGTTTCCATCCACTGCTGCTGGTGAATGTTAGACAGTAGGTGGCGCTCATTCTCCAGTCAGTGCCATTAAACAATCACGAAGGACACGAGGAGATAAACTGCTCAAACAAAAACTGAAGGAAACAAAATAGAAATATCACTTTTCTGTTGGTTTCCTGTACTTAAAGGATGCTTTAACGGGGCAGTAAGTTCCCACAGGTTATTATTATTATTATGTCTCCTGTGTGACAAATATATTTATTTAAATTTTAAGTGTGAGTTTTATGCCCTCAAGAAGATGGAACAAAAAAAGTCAGTCCTGTGATACAGTGAAGTAAAAAAAAAAACACTCAAATAGAGTAAATAGAATATTTTTCTGCATTATTACAGTTTTTGTATCTGCACACATCAGCCAATACTGATCAATCAATCTTAAAGACTTCCTTTAATATTAAATATCTTAACTGTTTTTGTGCACAAGGAGTTAATGGACACGTTTGTGTATATTTTCAGGGCCGATGTGACGTTTATATAATCATTTTCATCAATAACAGATGTTGATGAGGTTATTTATTCTAGGGCAGCACGATGTGGTAGAAACATCATTTTGCCAAATGATTGACGATTATGTGATAACGATCATCTTTGGATCAAAAGGGTTTTGTTTTCTTAAACCTGGATGAACAGTTTATTGTGATGCTGTTTGTTGTGATATTGCACTCGCACATATTCCAATAATATTTAGATTAATTGTGCAGCCCGAATTTATTCCCCTTCTGTGCAACCGTCTTAAATGGCGTCTCCTTTACCGTAACGAGGAGGTAAATATCGGTCTGATGGATGTAAAACTAGAGGTCCGAGTCTTCTGTCCCCACAACCAGATGTTGCTCTGCATCCGACTCTGGTGGCGTCTTCCGTCTGCCTCTGTGACTGCTGGAGCTGAAGGCGTCACTTTATTCAGCAGCCTTAAAGGAAATGAAGCACACACACACACACACACACACACACACGATAAAGCATGTAACTGTGTCTGTGCCTGCTGTCGGTGTGTTAGACTGTATGAAATACAGAGTCTGTGTGAGGAAGAGGAGGAGAAGGAGGAAGATGCCATATGAGTGCACGAGGCTTTCTAAATGTCCTGAGGGTAGAGAGCACTACATTTACCAGAATGCACTGCTGCGGTGTTCTGGATCTAGGTAATTAGCAGCTGTGAGTTACTAATCAGTGATTAACTGTAGACGAGGCTGCTTGTTCACGTAAATAGAGACGTTTTTATTATTGATTAACCTGCCGATCAGAGCTGAAACCTTATTGATTAGTTGATCGATAGAAAATTAATCAGCAGCAGTTTTATTATTGAGAACTTTTAAAGCAAATCTGTCCAGCTTTTGTTTGTTTTTACTTTGTGTGTCTTTGATCGGAAACTGAATCAGTTTTGGATTGTTTGTCGAACAAAACGAGACGTTTAAAGACGACATGGCGACTTTTTACTGTTATTGATATTTTACACTGAAGTTCCTGTACTTTTATCGCAGGAGCTCAGATAATTAAAAACATTATAATTTGGTAAAATATCTACGTACCGTAAAACTTCTAATAAATCAACAAGCTGGCGACTTAGACCAGGCCTCTAATTGAGACCGACTGCGTTTATTTGTCAAAACGTGTCCCCTCACCAGGCTAGTAAAGGAGACCTGCCTTTTATTAGAAGTTTTACGTTTTTTTAGGAGTAAAATAAACGCAAACGATTATATAAATGAACCACTGGCTTTGATAAGCCGATACTGCACCAACTGACACCTGGTCTGAGGCTTAGGTCGTAACGTGGCGCTTCAAGTCCAACCTAAAACGTTTTGACGTTTTCAGTGGCGGACCCCGCCAGTTTGATGGATTTTTCGGCGTGTCTTTTTTTTTTTCTTTGATCCTCCATAGCGTTAACACAAAATTACAAATGATTATCTACAAATTAATTAACAAAGATACCGCGTTCTCGATTTAATGAAACTTTCAGTTTTGCAAACAAAACAAAATGTGTATTTCAAATAAAAACGGTTAATAATATTTTCAAGTATCCAAATAATGAAACTTAAATATCCAATATTTTTGTTTTTGTTTCTAAAACTCGAAGTTTTTCTAGAGAAGTCTGAACAAAGACCGACCAGGTTTAGTAAAGATCAGTTGGTGCATCCCTGAACACAGATCACACGTTACGGACAAAACAGAGAAATGTTCACATTATATGTCTTTGATTATTTGTTAACATCAGAAGACAGTAAAGAAAATGCATCATAACTTCAGTTGTTTTGTCCGACCAGCAGCTCAACCAGATTCACTTTACTGATATAAAGCAGAAAATCCTCACGTTAGCGAAACTGTAAAATCAGATATTTGGTGTTTTTGCTTAAAGGAACGACTTGAATAATGAATCTGTTCTCTAAATAGTTGCTGATGAATCTTCTGCTCGTCTTTAATAAGAAAGCGGATCCTTTAAAATCAGCTGTAAAGTGCTGCAGACGACAAAGAGCTGTAAATGTATGCAGTCGATGTGAATCTGTTGCTTTAGACTAAAGTGCCTATAAAGACGTGTGCGTGGAGCGACTGACTGTCGGAGGTCGTGTTTCTGGGTTTGGATCTGTCGTTAAAGGCACTGTGTTGGTCTGTGAGGTCGGTCACATGGTGCCTTCCGTCTGCCTTTCGCCAAAGGTCTCGTCTCGTTTCACCCGAACCGATCCGAGGCGAGCTTTAGGACGGAGGTCGATCTCCAGGTTAAATGTTGAAGTGAATCTGAGGGAGAGTCTTCACATGCAGACTGATCCTGATGTGATGAATTTTGTTTTGTTGGTCAATAAAAAGCTTTTCTATGACTCGAAACATCTTTGTCTGATCAATTAATTTCCAATATTGTATTTATTGTAATTGAGGTAAACAAACATCTGTCAGCTGCTTCTAGAGCCGCAGCTAATGATTGTTTATTAGTCATTTGTCAGCTTAGTTATAATGCAGCTGTCATTATTAATTATAGGATTATTATTTATTCCTAATTAATTAATATTTAGTTATTTAATAATATTTCTTATTTTTATATTTTCATTTTTTCGACTGTTAATTTTATTTAAATATATTTTAAAAAAATTTGAATATATTCTTACTTGGATGGAGTTTGTGTCTTTCTAAAATAAAATATAAAATAAATAAAATATAATTTGGAAAGTAAAGGTAATTTTTGGAAGTACTTACTAAGAGACTATGACAACAATCTGCTGAGGCAGTTTGTGGAGCTGCTTTGTATTTTACACAGAGCAGCTTCGTTCTATAAAACCTTTAACAGGTTACAAAAAGATATCAGATCAAATCTGAGGATCAGAAGGATGTGATTCCAGTGATTTTAACTTTTTATTTTACTCCTGAGCTCCACAGGACCAATACTTAATGTTGGAAACTGAAACAGGGACATTTTTACATGCAGTTTGGGAAAAAGTACTAGAATATGTAGAGAAGTGGTTCAGTTGGACGGTCAGAGATGTTTTACTGGGGGACCGAACAGAAATAATATATCAAAATATGACTACAGTGATGAAGGTCGGGGTGGTAACGGCTGCTGGAACGATCCTCAGATTATGGAAAAGTAAAAATCCTCTCCAGATATATAATATATGTATAGATATATTATAATTACAGAAAATTAGTTTTTTTCTGGGAAAACACAATAACAATAAAAGTTTCTGTTAACTTAAATAAATCTGTATCCATGTCATTATTATATATTTTATACACCAATAAATCGATTAAAAACAATCAATCGATCTTCTTTTATATATATTTATATATATATATATGTTAGGAAATAGGGTCATATGTTAGAGTCAATAACGATGCACTTCTGTGACACTGTAATGATTTGGTTGTAACTAATGTCTGTTTTGGTTGTGCTATATGTGTTTGTTTGTGTGTTTGTCAGCTTGTAACCAAATGTAGTCTGTTTATGTACTTGAATAAAAACTTTATTAACAATATATATATTTTAAATAATATTATTTAATATCTTGTAATAACATTTATTTCATAACATGTATCTTTTTTTGTTACTTTTTGTAATAATATTCATTTAATAATAATATGTAATATTTCATATTTATTCATTGAATAATATGTATATATTTTTTTATAATTCTATTTTTTCAATTTATAGCTTTTCAGATCTAAATGTGACATCTTCAGTTGTTTGTTTGTTTTTATATATACAGACATAAAAAACTGTAAATCCTCACATTTGACAAGTTAAAACCAAAAAATATATATTTTTTTTTTTCACAATTTCTGCTTGAAAAGTAAAAAATGACATAAAATGATCAGATTATCAAAATAATCATAAAACAATTTAATTTATTAGAAAATATAATAAAATCTTTGCTAAAAAGATGCAGCGTTGCAACTTCAACACAACATTTTTATTACACCAGATTAATTAATTTAACTCAAGAAAATGTGTTAAGTATCTAATTTAATTGTTAACTAGCTAGTTAAAGCTCAAAACTAACACTAACCAGCCAGTTAATTAACCATTAAAGCAATGTCACTAAAACTAACCCACCAGTTTAAAAACATCATTTTATTCTGACATCTAACCTGGCTTCCTGTCCGAGCTTTTATTGTGACACAGCCCGGACCCGCGCTGTGCAGTGAGCTTTATCTGGCGGACGGAGGCTCGAGCAGCTCAGTGTGTGTGTGTCCATCAGTCTGCAGTCACACACACTCTGAACACGTTAACTTTCCTCCCGTTAATCCTCCGTTATGGATCTGGACCCGACCGTCATCCTTCCCGCCATCCTCTTCACCGTCGTTGCCATTTACTTCGCTTCATCGCTGCTGAGCAAGAAGCCCGACCCCTCCTCCTCCTCAGCCGGGAACAAGAAGCCCAAAGTCGGCTACGGAGATGACATCCCTCCGTCCAGAGCTCTGGGAGTACCGCCCCGACCCGCGCCCGAAGCCTCCCCGCGGACAGAGCCTCCTGCGCCGGCTGTGGAGGACATCGGAGCCGCTGAGAAGATCCAGGTAAAGGTAAGATCGATTGATTCTGTTTTTAATCGATTTATTTGTGTATAAAATAAATATTAATGACATGGATACAGATTTATTTAAGTTAACAGAAAGCTTTTTGTGTTTTCCCAGAAAAACACAAAATTCTGTAATTTTTGATATAAGAAATAACTTTAGTCATCCAAAGATGCTCAATATAGGATATATATACAATAAAATATACAAAAAAGTGCATAGTTAAATAGAAAAAAGGGAGTTTGACATTAAAAATGACTTTAAATGTATTATTTTTGATGACAAGCAGTCAAAACAATTTAAATAGATTTAATTTATAGCAACATTTTAAAGTTATTCTGATTGAAACCAGCTAATCGATCAATAAACAGTTCTCCTCCAGACATGTATCAATACATCAATACAAGCACTCTGCTTGGAACAGCAATGGGTCTGATATTAAAAAAAATAATAATTTCAACATTAAAACCCTTAAAAAGGCTTCCAGTCCTTCTACCTCATTACAAAGTAAAACATTAAATAAAGACAAGAGAAAGTTTGATGTCAGTGTTTGGTATTTATATTTCTTTACTCCATAAAGACCAAAATAAAAAAATAACTTATTTAATCCAGAAAAACACTTTTGTGCCAAAGATGTTCAATAAAGGATTTATAACAGATAATAATAGTAAAATATAAACAAATAAACCCAAAAAAGTACAATATGTTTTTTATTTATAGACATTTAAGAGGTATTGTGACTGATCAGTTAACCGATCAATATTTTCTCAAATTAAAGTCAGCAGAAAGTTAAGAATCAATGTCACAGTGTTATTGGTATTTTTACATGTGAAACAATCAATTAATCAGTTTATTAAACATCCTTCTGTCTTTCTTCTTGAAGGTTTTGCTGTTTTTCTGCTTTTAAAAACGTAACCTGAGATTCTGTGATTAACATATTTTTAGGATTTTCTGATATTTTACAGATTAAACACAATCAATTAATTAAAAAAAGTAATAATGTGATTAATCGACAATGAAAACAGTTGTTTTTTGCAGCCAGATATGATCAATATCAAATTGAAAAGTGAATAATTGATTGATGATTCACTGTAAACATACTCTACTCACAGACAGTAAAACTATAAATACATTTATTGATAAATATATATAAACACTCTGAACAATAATGTGTGATAAATGAAAGTTTATTTCCACATTATCCACAGTGTCACTGGATCAATATTTATATTGATAATCAAAGACAATGAGAGCGGATCAATCAATCATTAGTCATTAAAGTGTAACGACACCTGCACTCCTGTTAGCTCCTCCCTCTCAGTGACATCACAGACCTGCAGAGGACGGTGACTTTAGGGGGCGTGGCCTCGACAGCGACCACAGTGACTGACAGACTGACCACAACAGTGGAGCAGGAACGGCGAGCTGGTAGTTCAGAGCTAACCGAGATTTTACTGTCACTAGAAGCACGTTCACGCTGTTAGTAAACGTTTCTGTGAGCTCCCTGTTTGTCCGGTATGTGTGTGTGTGTGTGTGTGTGTGTGTCTGTGGGATCGAGGTAAAGATCGCAGTTCGGAGATCGCAGTTCGGTGCTTCTACAGCGTCTAAAGTCGGAACCACTGCGCCACAATATGAACATACTGAGTAGAGGGTTAGTAACAGCTAGCATTACCAACTGTGAATGATGCGTCTCGATAAGTAAACATTTGGAAATGAAGCCGCGGTTTCACAGACTCCCAGTTTGTTTAAATGTAATAAAATATATAATTTCTGTAAAATTGAGTGAATGAATGAAATCTTGGAGAAATTAGAATTGTTAAATATTAATAACAATTAATGTTGGTTGAGATTATTTTGCTGTCGCTGTTTTGATCAGTGAATCGTTTTCTGGCTGTGAGAGTTTTTCTTTGTGTTGGTCGAACTAAACCGGATGTAACTTTTACATTTTCTGACATTTTATAAAGTTAATCACGAAAATATTTGCTAGTTGACGCGGCGGAGGTTTGTTTTAACTGATTCTGTGTTGACTTACTGAGAGTCAGCAGCACAATTTAAAGTGAAAGCATTATTTAGTTTTTATTTTAGTCTTCTTTTTAAAAGAAATGTTTTTTAAATAATTTTATTATTATATATTAGGTTTATTATTGTAATTTTTTTATTTATTTCTTTTTCATTTTTTATTTCCTTTTGTTTATTTAAGTTTTATTTATTTCAGTGTTATTTATTTATTTACTTCTTTTTTATTTCTGTTATGTTTTAGAGCTGAAACAGATTATTATTCTTTTATTGATCATATATATATCGATTTTTGTCACAGGCAATTAGCAATTAAAGGCCTTTTGTGTGGACTAACTGAGTATTGATTGTTACTACGTCTGATAATCAACGAAGTTCCTCTCGTTGAATATTTGAGCCTCCCTGTCCGGTGTTTGGCTCCCTGACACCCAAACATGGTCACCGCCACTGATTCCTCTGACTGCCGGCTGCTGATTTGCCTGTGCACACGCTGACCAACGGTATGGAGCATTTGAATGTTTCTGCAGTTTCATGCAAATCAGCAGCACAGAAACTCTTCCTGCTCGCCGTCCGGCACGTCGACGCCCGTTTGTTGGATCTTTCTGACCTTTTCCACCTGCACAGCAGAGCCTTTAAAAGGCCAGAGGAATGTGCCCACGGCGGCTGGAACATGCAACGGGCTGGGCGTCTATATTTGGTGGCCGGCATGAACCCTATATTTACACCCATGTACTGTATGTTCGTGGTGTCACAGTCTGAAATGGACTCTGCGAGGTTGAGGAGGAGGCGGGTGTGACACCTTCACGTGGCTTCATGTGATGTTTGGCAACGTGTGTTGTGTGTTATTTCATCCTGCTGATTCAGGAACAGCGTTTACATCTCATACTGCTCACACACTCACATCTACAGCACTGATGTTACTGACTCCACATACGCAGTTATTATCCCAGCTGTTTCATTTACTGTAATAAATACGTTAATTTACCGTCATCGAAGGGCTGTCGGAGTGATTCAGGGTCGCTCAACAGTATTATCGCCATTTCTGTTGCATCGGTTGCTCGGGACAGTTTTCAGTCTCACCTGCACTCTCCATTCTGGGTCTGTTAACTAAAAAAAGTCTCCAGTTCGTTAACACATTCAGCTGAAAGTTAACAGGGTTCCTTCTTAAACTGAAGCACTGGCGAGCTGCAGGTTGCAAACACCCACAGCTGTTGCGAACTGGGATAATTAGCGGACCAGTCTGTGCTGCGTTTCCAG